GAATACCAGGTATCCCATCATCTTCTGAATCATCATTGACCATTTCTTCAAACTCCAACTCGTCATCTTCTTCTTCTTCATCAACGACATCTACTTCTGCTTGTTCGGTCTCCAAAGAATCAACCACTTGTGACAGCTGAGGCTCTCACAACATAATGTATAACTCAATAGAGTTGTACACAGAATACTCATGACTGGAAAACATATTCTGAAGGTCCTCTTCATCTTGAACCTCAACCTTATAAAATATTATTTGGTTGTTAAAAAAAAACCGGATTCTGATAAAATATTTGTGTCACGGGACCTCGTCCAAGTTTGGCCTCCAATCGTTTTTTGAAGTACAAGAAAGTGGCTTTCCTGTTTAAACAAAATCGGATGTTCTCAGTGTCTCTAAACAAAAAACTAGAGGTGGGAAAAATGTATGTATCACCGTTAAAATGTGCATTGATCACATATTGGGGTGCAGAGGCCATTGTGTATGACTGTTTGAAGGTTTGAAGGTTTGAAGGTTTGAAGTTTATGAATTAATTGTTGGAATTTTTTAATGTTCTAGTGTTTGAGAGATTAAGTGTATGAGTGTTTTGATAAATCTAAGATTAAATAGGTTGTACTGAATTTGAATAAACCAACAATAAGCACTCTCCAAGGTTGTCACCTACACTGCACCTACACTGCAACCTCTAAGGTGCCTCCCATCACGTCCAATAGTGTTACATGCATGCAGAGATGCCTTCTCCAAGGCTGTCACCTAGTCTGCGCCTACACTGCAACCCATGCCACCTCTTATTCGCCAACAGGGATGGCGACACCTTTCATTTTTGTACTCTTTTGCCAAGTCCAATGGCGTCTCCCATCACGTCCAATAGTGTTATATGCATGCAAAGATGCCTTCTCCAAGGCTGACACCTAGCGTGCACCTACACTGCAACCTCTAAGGCGCCTCCCATCACATCCAATGGTGTTACATGCATGCATAGATTCCTTCTCCAAGGCCGTCACCTAGCCTGCGCCTACACTGCAACCCATGCCACCTCTTATTCGCCAACAGGGATGGCGACACCTTTCATTTTTGTACTCTTTCTCCAAGTCCAATGGCGTCTCCCATCACATCCAATAGTGTTACATGCATGCAGAGATGCCTTCTCCAAGGCTGTCACCTAGCCTACGCCTACGCTGCAACCAATGCCACCTCTTATTCGCCAATAGGGATGGCGACACCTCTCATTTTTGTACTCTTTCTCCAAGTCCAATGGCGACTCTCATCACGTCCATTAGTGTGACATGCATGCAGAGATGCCTTCTCCAAGGCTGTCACCTAGCCTGCACCTACACTACAACCTCTAAGGCGCCTCCCATCACGTCCAATGGTGTTACATGCAATGCTGAGATGCCTTCTCCAAGGCTGTCACCTAGCCTGCGCCTACACTGCAACCCATGCCACCTCTTATTCACCAACAAGGATGGTGACGGCTTTCATTTTTGTACTATTTCGCCAAGTCCAATGGCGCCTTCCTTCATATTCAATCGTGTTACATGCATGCAGAGATGCCTTCCCCAATGCTGCCACGTAGCCTGCACCTACACTGCAAGAGTGATACTTATCATGCATGCATGCACCCACCTACCATCTCACTTACTCTATGATAAAATTTTGCCTATAAATACAGAGCCTCACATACTTCTCTCGAATCCACAATCGTCTCACTCTCTGCTACAAACTCTTTCATAATCTCTTACAATTTCAAACTCTTTCATAATCTGAGACATTTTCAACAATGACTTTCTCACAATGGGCGATTCTCACAGAGGCACAAGGGAAAATATTGCAGCGTTTGTAAGTTTTTTTTATACTTACACATTTTTCATACTTCTAGTAATACTTTATTCATCTTACCTACTCTTACACTTTTTACATTATTAACTTAGGATACTAAAAGATTCAGAATTCGTTCATACAACTACCTTGCTCCCGACCCGTTGATCGTACCCTATCTCGATTACGCAAGTTTCGGAAACGTTATAAAGATCTCCAACTGCACAATTAATTCAAAGTTCATACTTGCAATGTTGGAAAGGTGGAGACCAGAGACCCATACATTTCATCTACCAATAGGTGAATGTACCGTCACACTAGAGGACGTGTACATGTTATTGGGTCTCCCTGTCGACGATAAGACGGTTAATGGTTCGGTTCAACAACCCAATTCTCTTTGTGAAGAATTGTTGGGCAGGGATATGGTTGAAGGTGGTGGTGCGAGAGGTCAGGTTATACTACTTACTGAGCTAAAAAATCATTATGTGACTCTGGAATTGAACGAAAATTCCTTCGAGCCAGCTAAGGTAATAAAAGCTAGAAATTATATAATGATACTATTTGGAACCTTTTTATTTCCCGAAAGTACGGGAAATAGTGTAAATTTTATGTATTTAAATTTACTTAGAGACTTCGAAAAAACTAGAAAGTATAGTTGGGGTTCTGCTGATTTAACCCATCTATACAGTTCCTTGTGTAAAAATGCAATCAAGGAAAAATGTACATTTTATGGCTGCATTTTTTTACTTCAAGCCTGGGGTTGGTGGAGGATGGAGTCCCTAAACCCCGTCAACAACAACACAATCGTTTTCCCATACACAACAAAGTAAGTAATCAACTTATATCATTTATTACTATTCATCTATTCACCAAATATACGATAAAAATAAAATATTTTTCCATTCCTTTAGGTATTGCGTGAGGGGTATGGATTACGGCAAGAATCCAAGATTCAATGTCGCTCTATACCGCAATCTATTGGATCACCTTGGCCCGGATGATGTACGTCGTACCTTTCAACTTTTCTACTTTTAAATTATTTATTTATTATGTTTTCATTAACCTGATTTAATTTTATCCGCAGTTTGTCTGGAGATCATATTTGGGTTTGGACCATGAATCAAACCCCGAGGATGCAGCAATTTAGAGCGTAAAGACTGCAATCATACGGTTCAATGTTGTGGAGATGCACCACAGCGACTGTGTCAAGATGCAGTTTGAAATACATCAAGAGATACCCAACGATCCAACTTGTTTATCCCCGTGGCATCTCAAAAGGGTCGACGTCCAATGTGGTCTTACCAACTGGAAAGACTTTGCTCCAGAATGGTGTAAGATGTGGCAGAGGTGTCACCGACATGTCTTGCAATTTCCATTTTTCCTCAACCATGGTAATATGTGACACACGGATCAATATTTATCTTGGTACAAATCAGTTAGTACCTCTGAAATGCACGTGTCTCATCCAAGATATTTGGTTGACCCACGAACACAATGAGCACAACCCTCATTTCCCCAACAACAAACCCAACACACATCAACCTCCCACCAACCCCCCCGACGAAACAGAACCACAAACACCCAACCATAGTCACCACCACAATACAATTACACCCACATGTCCCACAACCAACCACAATCACCACCTCAGTACCAATACCCCCATATGCCTCACACTCAACCACAATTTCAATCACAATACCAATACACCCGCATACCCCATACACAATTTCAGTCTTCTGCATATCTCAATATGGGCCCATAAACATCCAACCTTAGCCCTGATCTGGGATTTTCCGAAGATTATGAACCAACCGACCCAACTTACCATCAACCACAACATCACCAAAGCACCCAACATCCTTAATACCAAACACCCCAAGATCCATTTCCTTTCTATCCCCCGTACTCAGACGACCAGTGCTACAGACCAACCATAGAATCCCACCCACCACCATAACAACCAAACTTTGAGGGTATGGGTAACCGACTATACCAAAGAGGATCTTCTAGATATGGAGATCTGACTGACTTCATGGATCCGAAACGCATTGACTTCGTTGGGCCATCGACCCTGCCATAATAGGAAACGCGACGAAACTCAGCACGGGAAAGGCGAGGACGGGGATGCGGAACCGGGGGTCATTACCGGGTTCCGGGGGACCACTGATTAATTTATATTTTTTTTATGTAATCGTTATGTGTGTAATCATATTTTATAAATAAAAAGTCAATTTTGTTGATCCTATATCGAATATGCAACGCACCGCATTTAAAATAACGCGAAAATTTGTCTCCCAATTGCACTAAGGTGTCATCTCACTTGGGTTAGGGCAAACCTTTAACACCTAGGCGCCAAGTGAGATGGCGCCTCCTCTTTAAAATAAGGTGTAGGCGCCAAGTGGGATGACTCCTCCCTTGGAGAGTTTTCTGAAACATGATTATTTGCATAATTTTTCCCGAAACATGGTTATTTGCGAAAAAAAATTTAATACATAGTAATTCCAAAAAAAAATTCTATAAAGTAAAGAAAATCTTTGCAGTTTTCATTAAGCATTAATTTGTAATATTATACAGTTTTAAAATAGTTTTTAAAAGTATATATATATATATATATATATATATATATATATATATTTTAAAAATTATGATATATATTTACAAAATAGTACAAAATAGTTTTTTAAAATTAATTTACAAAACTATGATATATATTTTAAAAATTATGATAAAATTAATCCTTATACTTTATATTTTAAAAATCTTATGACTCTCTTTTCTTTTCTCATGACGAATGTTCCACCATCATCTGATTCATCTCACGGTACACGACTCATACAAATAAAAAAATGCAAAGACCTATAACTAAGGGTTATGGAAGGTGATAATTAAGGTAAGGAATATTAATTACGTTAAAAACGAATAAACTAAGCAGAATTTAATTGTAAAGCACAAGCAAATCAAAATCTTGTTGTATATGCCTAGCCTTTATGGTTCTTTCTTCTCATACGAGAAAAGAAGACTTTTGTCTTGTCCTCTAAACATTCTCTGCTTCTTTCCTCAACCCTTATAGTATATATATATAATACCCTTTGTTGCGATATATCTTGTTCTAACATAAAACTCCAATTTCACAATATATCTATAATTAACCATCAAAGATCTGAATAACTCAAACTACTTCATCATGGGGGTCCTTGGTAGTATGGCAAGAAATTTGGATACATTAATAGGGTAAATATTATAATAAAACTCCATTTTCATTTATATTTTTAGTCATTTTTCATTATTTTAACTGTAGACTTTTTTGTCAAAAAATAAAAAAACTCTAGTATATTATATACTTCTAGAAACAAATTATATATTTTGTTGTTAATTAGTTAATTTTGTTGTAAGTGTTAGATCAATATTTTTTTCTGTCAAAATTTTAGTTTGTAAATAATTTATTTTTCAAATAGTGATATATATTTTCTTTTATAATATGTTCTTAAATCATTACATTGGCTCATTACATTTGTAATTAACATTCTACTTTTTATGTTTGTATGCCAGGCCTGGAGTAATGCTTCTTTTTCCTTTGTAAGTATAAATGGAGAATATTACTATATATCTATAATTTAAATTTATTATTTGTAGCTATTATTAGAGTATTTTGGCATATAATTTTAGCAAGACTTATGAAAAATACATATATAACAGATACTCATCCATGAGGGCAATTGAAAGTCCTTCAACCTTAGATGATCAGCAGTGGCTAACTTATTGGGTTTTATACTCCTTCATAACCCTCTTTGAGCTTTCATTTTACAAGATCTTACCATGGTAAGTAAATATTAAAACAGATTAAGTTTGTTACATGTTCTACCATAATTAAATAAATGATTAAATATGTTTGTAGTCTAAAAAATTAAATATTGAACTACAAACAAAATGTATTATATATAAGAAAATGTTGATGTTTTACAACAACTTCCTCAAAAAATATTAATAAAATTAAAAATATATGTAATCTTATTATTATTATTATTATTATTATTATTATTATTATTATTATTATTATTATTATTATTATTATTATTATTATTATTATTATTATTATTATTATTATTATTATTATTATTATTATTATTATTATTATTATTATTATTATTATTATTATTATTATTATTATTATTATTATTATTATTATTATTATTATTATTATTATTATTATTATTATTATTATTATTATTATTATTATTATTATTATTATTATTATTATTATTATTATTATTATTATTATTATTATTATTATTATTATTATTATTATTATTATTATTATTATTATTATTATTATTATTATTATTATTATTATTATTATTATTATTATTATTATTATTATTATTATTATTATTATTATTATTATTATTATTATTATTATTATTATTATTATTATTATTATTATTATTATTATTATTATTATTATTATTATTATTATTATTATTATTATTATTTATAAACCAAAAATTGCATATTTCACCACTAAAATAAATATTTAATACATTTTTTTAGAGAACTAATAATTATTTCTTTCTTTGTGATGTAAAGGTTTCCGATTTGGCCATACATGAAGCTTGTGTTTTGCATGTGGCTGGTATTACCAATGTTCAATGGGGCTGCTTTTTTATATGAGAATTATGTGAGACAATATGTAAAAAATATAGGAAATTATGGAGGTTTCAATAAGTATCAAGAGGAACAAAAGAAAGTCCTTCAGATGATTAGCATGGATGCAAGAAAAGCTGTTGAACGTTATATAGATAGATTTGGCCCTGATGCCTTTGAGAGAGTAATCAAAGTGGTAAGTATACTATAAACAATTTCAACTAGATTAATTAACTTTTTTTTTTCTTCTTTTTTTAATATATTTTTTTGTAACATTTTTTATATATCTATATGTATATGATTGATTTGCAGGCTGAGAAAGAAGCAAGGAAGCACTAAAGATTGGTTTTAGAAAATTGGTGTTTTGATATTATGTTGTCATTAGAGAGTGTTTAATGACTCGTGAGTTTCAGAATTGTACTATAATTAAAATATAATGACATCAATCTTGAGCTTTAGATACTTCAAATTGTATATATTTTTTATAAGCAAATTTATTTGAGTAGAAGTGTACTCAAATCCAACCATGACCAAGATAGTATTTTAATGCTCTATAATGCTCCAGCTACCTCACTTAAAAATCCTTTGAACAATATATCATTCTACATCAGTCATAAACACCGGCAAGTAACAAATCATATCACTTCTTCCATTTTTTTTTGAAATTCTGCCTTACAACATTTTTTTGAATTGGATAAACTGTTTTACTCCCACTATTTCTAGTGGCATGGATGTGTCTATCCATAAATAAACTTTGATCTATAAGTAGGGTTGAGAATAGACTGAACTGAGTTAGACTTTGCTAAGTCCGAATCTGTTATGCTAAAAAATTCAAAGATTAGATCTTACTTGTAATCTATTATAAATTTATCTTTAAGTTTGAGCCTAATTTTTTCGAAGGTCTGATTAATCCACTAGCCTACTTTAAAGTCTACTTACTTCATTTGAATATTTTTAAAGAAGCAATTAAACTAATATTAAATAGACTAACAAATTAAAAGATCAACGAGCAAAACTATTTGTTTCATTGACTCATTCGAGTTTACCTATTAACATAAATTTTGTGATACTATTTGTTTGAGAGAAAGTATTGAAACAAATAATGACAACAAGTTATAACATTGTTCGTAATGGTTTTTCAACTTATTTTCATAAATTCTTCAAGATAACTATGCTTTATTTTGATATTTTAATTCAAAGTATAAAATATAATATAACAATAATAAATTTACTCATGTTTATTTAAATAGGTCGGTCTGATAGACTTAAAAGGCATTTTACATGACCCGTGGCCTAGTCTTTTTAGCTAAATAGACTTATGAAAAAGCCTAAACCTTTTCTATTTAAAAAAAGTCTGGTCTGACCTAGGCCTATGTAGTTTAGGCCGTAGGCCTCTGTTAGTTGGTCTGCTCTATTCTCACCTTTAGGCACAAGAAGTATAGATGCATGAAGAAGTATATTTTTTTTTAGCACATAACACATACTAAACTATGATTACCTTATGATACGTCACTTTTTAGCAAGCTCTATTGGAGTACAAGGTTGAAGATGAAGATCAAGATGGAAGAAGAGACAAAAAGATAAGAGAGAAAAAATAATTGTCACAAACTTTTGAGAGAGAGAGAGAAAGAGAGAAAAAAATTCTTTTGTGAAAAACTCTTGTAAATTCACGTTTTGAAAAACTAGTTACAAACTTGTTTAAATGCACAAACTAAATTGACATGTAGGCACAACTAGCAAAGCTAAAACAAAACAAATCCCATAAGCTAAGCACATTTTCTAGAACAACAGTATCAGAAGCTTTTGCTTCTGAGTCAGAATACTACTTATGAATATGTAACTTCTGAACATGAATTACTTATAACATCATCCCTTAATTCACGTCCAGCTAACCGAAAACTACAACGTCAATTCCATCCTTCAAATGAACAAAGTGTTCAGTCTTGAAAGCTTTCGTAAGAACATCTGCAAATTGCTTGAGTGCTATCGTGTACAACTTCTAGCACTCCACTCTGGACCTGATTCCTCAAAAAAATGGAATTTCGTGTCAATGTGCTTTCTTCTCCCATGCAACACTGAGTTTTTGGCAAGGCTTATGGAAATTTTTTTGTCAATCATCAACTTCTCAGGCTTGCTCACCTTGATCTTCAGATCCTGCAACAAATTTATCAGCCAAACTGTTTGACACGCAGACAAAGCACGTGTAATGTATTCAGCTTCACAAGTTGATAAGGCAACCACAAGTTGCTTCTTGGAGCACCAAGAAATTGGACTTCCCAGATACTTGAAAAATATCAAAAAGTACTTCTTTTGTTAACTCTGTCTCCACAAAAATCAAAGTCTGAATATCATATCATCTCTGAGTTATATTTAACACCAGAAGGGAATAACACTTCGTACCTCAGAGTCCCTTTAATATACCTCAGTATTCTGACAGCAGCTTGGTAATATGACTATTTTGGTTTGTTCATAAACCTACTCACTATTCTAACTGCATAGAAAATTTCAGGTCTGGTTTTACACAAATATCTCAACGAGCCAACCAACTGCTTAAAAATTGTAGCATCTACATCATCACCCTCAACATCAGAATCCAACTTGTGATTCCTCTCAGCATGTGTGATTGCATTCTTACAATTTGTTAACTCAAATCTCTTCAAAAGTTAAAGTTCATACTTCAACGGGTGCAAAATTACACCCTTATAAGAATAATAAATCTCCATCCCTAGAAAATATACCATATTTTCCAGACCAGTCATCTAAAACTCATTCATTAGAACCTTCTTAAACTTGACTATCCCATCTGAACAACTTCTTATAAGCAATATGTCATCAACATAGAGACACACTATAATCATATTGCTTTCAGAAGTATGTTGAACATAAATGCCATACTGTTGTACCCCAAAATTTGCCCTCTCATTTTATCAAGATTTCCCCTCATAAGACTCTTTAGACTCCAGACAGGATTAGGGTTTGCTCTGCTCAAGACATCTCCTTGCACTGTTGACCTGAAATTAGGGTTTGAGTTTGCACAGGTATTTTTGGAATTACAATGCTCAAAGTGACTTTCATAATTCATGTTAGACTTATAAGATTTCCCCTACCAAGTTTCAAGCCTTGAATCAAATTTTTGCCCAGTCAATTGGACAGTTGATCTAGAAATCAGCTGTATTGGGGAAAAAGTCAACTGTGGCCAATTTACAGTCAAACCTCATAATTTTTTATCCACATCAATATTATAGACTCATATTAACCATTTTATCATGTTTGGACCACAACTCCTCAAGAAATTTGATCAGATCATCAAAAGGGCAAAATGGTCATTTTTAGGGTTTTGACTACAGAAGGGCAATTTCTGATTTTTTAACCTATCCAATGGCAAATTGGGTTCAATCATGGATTCCAGGACTCACTGGCATCATCTTGACCTAATCACAAGGTTCAAAAGATCTCAATTGCATTGGATTGATAGATGAATTTTCCAGTCAACTGATCAAAAATCAATTGTACACTGAAAAGTCAAACTTTGACTTTTTGGTCAAAATCAAGTGCCAAGGATCATTTTTCATCAAGATGTGTCAAAATATGAAACTTGTTCACCAAGAAACCTAATTTTGCAAATTAGGGTTTAAGATTGAAAAATTTCATAACTTAGAAATTTTCAAAGTTATGAAATTTTCTTATTTTTTCCCAACTTTGCCAAACTTTTTCACCATGATGCAATTGGATTCAAAGAAAACTTCCAACATGAAAGTTGTATTCCTCCACAAAATCTACAACTTTGATTCACAAAGTTTTCCCAAAATATGCTTGGATCTCAAGTTATAATTTTGTGAACAAGGGTCCATGAAACTTTTAACTTAGTGAAATTTTGCCCTAGTTTAGGCAGGATTTTGACCTATCTTCATGGCAATTTTTCACCTAGTTCCAATTGGAATCTCAAAATGAATTTCAAATATGGATTGTAGAGCATGTTACAAGCTTTCCAAAATGTCCAAGAACTCTCAAAAATCATTTATGGTTAGGGAGAATGGAAGGTTTGAATTTGGAAAAATGTGACTTTGATCCATGGCATTTTTCATGTTGCTACAAATTGCAAATTCTATCCAGCCTTGCTTGTACTTGTTTACAGGTATCTAAACCCTTCCACACTCAAAAATTGAATGCAAACACAAAGGATTAAGGCATTGTTATGAACTTTAGAGGTTTACACATTGAATTAATCTAAAAATGGCAAAAAGGCAACGTTGCGATTTTGATAAAGTTGGCTTTATGTCAAGTTGTTCCTCTTGAGCCAAGGACCCAATCTTTTGCAGAAAACAAAGTTCACTAATATCAGGCAATTGTTACCAACTATTGGCAGACCCTAAGCTATATGGTACAACCCTTTGCATTGTCTTTTCACACTTTTCTTCAAAACCAAGCCAACTTGCCAAAACCACAGAACTCTTGTATCTGATATAACCAAGTGTTGCAACCATTCCAAACAACTTTTACACATTTCCTAAGGTCAAAAACACGAGCTAGCCAGTCCTCAAACACCCTTGAACATCAAAATACCATCTTCTTGCAAAACAGGGCAGCTTCTGCATTTTGATTTCCAAAACAAAAACTACTCGTGCGTTTTGCCCCAAACCTCTTCCAAAACACTCCATACAACCCACCTAAGCTATCCCAGCCATTGGCCAACAACTGTAACCTTGTTTTCAAGCTTCACCATTTTTGAATTCTGATTGTGCAGGTTGACTTCTACAAGCTTATTCAGGCAAGTTCAAAGCTAGCTAAGCATTGGGGAAGCTCAAAGGAATTCAAGCAAGCTCACCAGCATCTCAGGCCTCACTGAAAACCCCTGCATTTCCATACTCGAGCGAAACTGAAACATGTAAAGTTCAAACTTCTATCTCTCTATTTAGGAATCATTAGGCTTAGGTTTGTGAATAAAAATGTAGTACTCATTGCCCTTGAGCTGTACATATGCATAGATTTCATTTAAGTTAATTGAGTTGGGAGAATTTGATTGATGAACTTTCTGAAAAAGCTAGGTTAGAAATTAGGGCCAGAGAAATTCTCCCTGGTCTTTGAGAGTTAGATTAAGTTCTTTACATGGTTAGAATCGTGTTTGAAAATGCTATAACTTTTATGTTGTGAGTTTTTGATTTAATGCAAGAACAAGAGAGAACAGGATTCGTGTGTAAGAGCCATGGCGCGCATTCTGGAGGACAGGCATGAAGATGGAATGGGCTGGGCTTGACTTGGCCTTGCTGTTTGCACCCCCCATTGTGCTTTCTGCACCCCCTGGCCCATTTGTTTATTTTCCATTTTTTTTTCATTTCTTT